GTAGACCCTAGACCCTGGTAGACCCTGGTAGACCCTAGACCCTGGTACACCCTAGACCCTGGTAGACCCTGGTAGAAACTAATAGAAAGTGAATTATTTTATAACTCAGTGTTTTTGAATTATTTTGTAATTCATTTACGTCATGGTCTCTTGATTTTTATTGATGACTCAAGTTTTCATATATGCTTCATACTCAATGCTCTTAGATAGATTAAAATGCGTCAAAAAAGCAACTCTAACAATTTACTGTGATATGAATTAGTTGAATGAATGACTAAAAATATGCTCTTTATCACTATAAGGAACATATGTGAATAGCATTCTACATAGCTAAAAATGCATTGATCTATTCCTACAAAAAAAAGACGATCTGGATATCTAAAGTCTATCTATAAAAAGAAAATTTTTATTATTACCTCTGACCGTTCTCGACGAAATTTACTGCAGTGGAAATATGCTTCCATGAAATTGTTAGAGATCCCACAAATTCACTGAGCGATAATTGGTAAATTTAGCTTTTCGAACACTATTGCGATTATAATGGCAAGTATTTCCCTTAATAAATGACCAACAGCAAAAGTATTTTGTATTGTAAATTAATAAGGTTAGTAAAATGGGAGGTTCAGTTAGTGGCAATGCCAGGGATAGGCTGACGTAGGTTAAATCCCTCATCGAAAGAAACTCAAACTCATTGTCACAGTTTTTTTCTTCTGCTTAATCAAGTTTCATATTTGTAAAGAAGACGGTGTTACTTTACGACTATCGATTCTGACTAATTTCAGTAAAAATAAGGTTTCAAATTATGGTTGTTTCTATTATATTGACTACTCAAGAAATTCTTTTCTTTTCTCTTATCGACTTAGCAGCTTTCAAACAAAAGTTATTGAATAAAAAAGAACATAAACTGCTACCTATAATTTTGCGCAATGCAACCTGAGAAACGAAAAATGATCAAGCCGCTTTCTTACTGAATTATCAAAAACACATTATGAAACGTAACAAAAGTCAGCTGTTCTGAATCCACTAACTTCGTCACAGAATCTTTTCTCCGATTCTCCTGATCAAAATTTTCCTGCCACTTCTTGTTCTTTACTTGAGGAAACGATCGATATAACATGCTTAGCAGAAAATTACGAAAATAAATCTGTGCCAACAGATATTAGTCTATCTTGTAACGATCTTCCTAGTTAATCAAAACTCCGGTCGTATCCATAAAACTTTCAAAATCATTCTTTTTCAGTCAAAGTGGTTCATGAATAGAAGCTGGGTAGAATATTCTCTGAGAACTGATCGTATTTATTGTTGTATTTGTCAACATTTTTGTTCACATAAAGCAAACATTGGTGATCTTTTTACGACTTGTGATTAAAATAATTTTAAAACGCGCATTAGAAGGCAGACGTGGCTTGTACAAACAGGAACAATCTCGGGAACATGTTATTGCTAAAAAAAGAGTGTTGAATCATTTAAACTATGTCAGCAACTACATATAAGTGTTATAAAATCATTAGATAGTAGCAGAAGTGTACTGGTGCGACATAATTAGAATCGTTTAATCAAAATTTCTTCAACATTACTTGTATTAGTTAGACAAATGATTGCTTTTCAAGGACATCGAGAGAATGAAAAGTAAACTAGCTTGCTCAGTTAAGCCTCAAATACAGATTATAGTGCGGATGTAATAATTTTTGGGTTTAATAGTAAAAAAAGAATGACTAAGATTTTTGTATTAGAGAACTTAACTTGCTTTTGTTTTAAGTTTTTTAACATACCATCCATGGTATTTTAGGTTTGCAAATCGTATTAACCTTATAGAGATTTTGCGTTGGATTTCTGTAGCGGATCCGATTGTAAAGTCAATTTTTGAGGATACTAGCAGTAATGCTACATATCTTAGTCATGATGTTTAAATTGAATTGTGACATTTAATGACAGATCAGCTACAATAAAACAAAATCTATCATATGGCAATAATTGTCCTTTTTATTGTGTATTTTTTATGAGCACAATGTCATCTCAACAATAGAATCATTTCACGTTAGTACTATCTTTTAGCTTTTTTTATAATAAAGATACTGTGGTTGAAGACTTTTTATATTATGAATTTAACAATTATTCCAGACTATAGATATATTGCGCTGTGGCACATGCATTCAACTAGTATAGATTGAACGCATCGTCTTTGTCTGACGAAAAATGTATTTATTACATTTCTAGTATTTCTAAAGTAGATGGGCTGAGCCATTTGGAAGAAAAGCCTGAAATTAACACTAGCCTAAATCTATTTTTTTAAGAGTCTATTCGACTTATTCAAACTCTTGGATTTATCTAACGTAGTCATATAATATATATTAGCTGTACTAGAAGAAAGTCATCGAATGGAAGAGCCATTTCGCATCCTCAACTAGCTTATCTGTTTTGCTTTTGTATTTTTCATCCTCATCTAGATGCTTGTCTCATTTTCATTATCAGCCTTGCCATTTTGCAAGAAATTGCAACTTCGAGAAATGCTAACATCGACGCTACTACTTCGATCCAATTATGTGACAAAAGTGAAGCTTCATCAATATTTTTTGCTGCATAACTTCGATACGCCACATACTTGTACATGCGTATATGCATCAGAAATTCTTTAGAAAAAAAAAACTATTATTTCGTTATATGTAAAATTATGTTGATGACCTTGTCTAAAACGAATTTCATATAAACTGAGTTATAGTCATTATGTACGGCTGTCGTTTTTGTTGAGGAAATTTTTTATGAAGAATATTTATAATATGTTTGGTTTTTTTTTTCATTTTTAGTAACTATAAAAATAGCTGAGAAAAATCAAATAAAATACATAATATATGGTGTAATGTGAACAAAAACTACTATTGATTTGTTTAATGATTAATGATTAAATAATGATGAAGCATCGTAATGTGCTTTGATAATGAAAATAGGTACTTGTGACTAGCATAAAAGTGTACTATTCTGTTGAATAAGCTTATATTATATATGTGTATATCTGAAAGTCTGATTTCTTTAAGATAAATCTGCATAGAATTGACTATTAATCTGTAGGTTTTTAGAAAAAAATGACAGATTTCTTTGAGTAGTAGCAAAATTAAAAACATTAAGTTCAAAGTTTTGTTTTTGTATTTGTTGACATCATTAGAATTATATGGTATGAGAAAAGTAAAAATTTTTCATTATCCAGTGTTCATTGAAAACAACAAAAAAAAAATTAGACAACACAAATATAAACTAAATACAAACTAAATATTTATCAATTCTTATGTTTCAAAAAGAATTTAATAGTATTAATCAGGTCATATCGACGACGAATAGCATTAAAGATAAAGTTGACTCTAGTCCTCAACAAATTTCGCAGTTCACTATATTGTTTGCTCGGCATATAACTGTCCTTCTATATTAGCAAGTTTATTTTTATCTTTTTTAGTTTCTGTCTTTGTGATATATCATTATAAGTATTCTTAGTTTTTTCATTAACACTGAAGTTTCCTTTGACATCGGAAATGTAATTTGCACCTTTGGATGAATATGTTTTTATGATTACTGTCAGTATATTCATTATGTCTTTGTTATACGTGTTTTGTTCTATTCAAAGAATATGAAATAAGTACAATGCGTAAATGCATTGACTTGACAACTTTTCCTTATTGTCTAAGTTCAATTTGTATTTATATTTAATCCATATTTACTCTAAGATTCTGTTTCATATTTTAATATGAGAAGCCAAACGGATAAAGTGACTGTTGTGTAGAACAAGAAAAAGAAAAGAATAAGTGATACTAAAAATAATTATTTTTTTTTCTGCCCACTTTCCCGCTGATTTAAACCTACTTTTAATTTTTTGTATACATGCAATAATTCATCAAATATTTGATTAATAGAAAAAAATAGAAATTCGCAGATGCATATAAAAGAATAGGACAAAAGAAGCACAATGAACTTTTAATTGAAAAGTAAATACATTCCGATAAGAAGATACAGGAAATAGGATTCCAAATTGGACGAAACAATACCATCCCATCTTACAAAACGAATGCTTTTCTTTTGAAATATCCTATAGAATGGACTGGAATGAAGTTTTCGTCCGATGGGATTTACTTCTTTCTTTTTTCTTCTTTAAAAAAATGCAGGTATGTGTCTAATGAAATATGGATTTAAGATACTTTGTCGACGCATAGGGTAATAGGATTCATTATTATGTTCTCATTGTTGATCTGTTTCCTTTAATAGAAACATATCCATTTCTTGCTTTTTTATTGTAATTTTTCATATAAAAACTTCAAATATTTTTACATGAGTTTAACTCTTTCAGTACAGGCGGCGTCAATTTGTGTCCTGAGGTTTTGAGGTCTGAATAACTTTTAAAAACATAATCTGTTGATTATTCAATTACATTAATTGCATGAGTATTTGTGTTTAGGATATTTATGCAGTTGAGATGATCTATACAGATTGATGATTATTGATTTGCCCTTAAAATTTTACGTATGATAGTATTTATTTTTTTTATGGTAAAAAAGTTTAGCATGAAAAAAACCGCAGTCTAAGGGTTAAACAATGAAAATTCACATTGATTTAAAAAAAAGTGTTGTGTGCTTCAAGCACTTTTCAACTTTTTTGATAATTTCCCGTCGTAGTTATTGATTATTAGGATGAAATAACAGATCTATAAGAAACCTTCATCATCTTCTGATGAACTCTGATGAATATCAACCATTAAAGAATTTTCTCGAGCTCACAAAGATCTGCAGAAGTTTACTGAATTACATTAGAACTTGCAAAGATCTTTTAAACAAACTTGACAAATTCAGACAGATTAAGTAAATTCAACAGAAACTAAGATTTCATGTATGACAAATGTATTGAAGAAGACTGTCAATTGCTAATACTTAAACAGATAGCAATGAAATCTTTTAACAGAGAAAGCAGTTAGTGAGTTCTGTCGCAGTTTAATAAACATAAATAGATCTCAATGAATTGCAATTAAATTTACTACTGTATGTGATGAAGGTCAACAAGATATTAACACCTAAGATCCGTAATTTAGCTTTTGAAAGAAGAAGTAAGATTTATATGATAAATATAAAAAAATTTAAGTGTTCAATCAAGTAAATTGAACAGAAATACACACAGATCAACTGAGCCGATAGCAAAAGCATCTTAAAGAAATCAACTCAAAGCTTGAGGAAATGTTTATACTAAACGGATTGCTCTATGAAACAATTATTTCGTCCTAGCCCATCTCATGCAAAGTCTCGACAAATAACCAGTGATAGTAGAACTCTAAAAAATCTGAAGGTTATTAATTCTGTTGAGATATAACAATAACTTACAAGAAACAGATGGACTAAGTTATATACAGAATTATTTATAAAAAGTGATTTAATCTGTACAAGAATAGCTCAAGTTTATAGTCCATTTAAATGATTTCTATTTTTATATTTAAGGTTTTATTCATTTAATGAGATCTCATTCATTATACTATTACATATTATCACTATTTCAAAAATAAATTAATCTTAAACAATTCAAACTCTTACTTTGCATTAATCATCCTTCCAATAAGTCAAGCAACCAAAGAAAATAACCAATTGAAGATCGTTAACAAGAATCCAAACAAATAAACATATTTAAATATATAAAAGCGTATGGCATGCGCTAAAGAAATAAAATAACAGTTGCATCACACTTTACAAGTGCTTATACAATGTCACTCTGCAGCAGTGCTCTAGCAGGTTTGATGAAATATTATGAAATCAAAAATTTATCCATTAAATAATAAGTTTTTTAGTTTTTCAGAAAACAACAGAAGAATGTTTAAATTCATCATCAATGTTTTCAAATAAAGCAATCCGAGTCTATGTTCGTCTGATGTTTCTTCGAATAGGTGAAATTGATACATTAAATGAAAAATATCAAGCACAAGCATCTATTGAATCTCGTTGGCCTGTTGAATTTGACAAATTCTCACCAAATCTATCTTCTGATGAACAAACACGTCTAATACATGGAAAATCTATATCTCTTATTAACTATGCTGAGTCTAATTGGCATCCCCAATTATATATTGAAAATATTCTAGGTGATTTAAAAGAACAACTAAGATATAGTGCAAAAATATCTAAAGCAGATAATCAAATATATATTTGTGAACATCGTGATATTAAAGGTATATTTTGGGAAAAACTTGAATTGCAACATTTTCCATCAGATGTTCAAGAATTATCAATATCAATTGGTTCAATGCTTTATGATGATAAAGTTTTATTAATTGCTGATCCTTATCATTTAAGTGGAATTAATCGAGAAGTATTTATCGATCAACAAGAATGGTCATTATATGAACATGTTGATACTAAACAAAGACATATAAAAGAATTTTTATTTCGAGGTGGAGATGAAGAGGAAGACAATGATGAAGATGATGATGCAAGTATTAGTACTAACAAAGAACGGAAGCGTTCGATTTTAACTGTAACTTGTCACGCTGGTTTGTATTTAGACAGAATAGAAATGGCATCAATAAAATATTATTTTCTTATTTAAAGCTCGTCGGTCGAATTATTTTTATTGGAATGGATATTGTCTGATATTTCTAATTACTTTAGTATCGTTTTGTATATTTTCTATCCCACCAAAGTGAGTTGTTACCTCCATACTATAAATTTGATTCCTCTTTTTATATTCAAGTCTATCAGCTAATCGTCTTCAAATATCTTGTACACTTCTTTTAACATCCATTACATTTCGATGGACAGTAAATAGATCACTAGTAAGTTTGATTGTTGATTGTTGTTCTCTTATTGATTGACTTTGTGACATTAGCCTACGATATCATATTTAACAGCAATGGATAAATATGCGATAATGTGTCTTTTTATTCTTGTTATTCTTTCTATTTGGCATGCAATCATTGGTGGATTAATATATAGATATACGTCTGATTTTCATGTGACTTCAATAACATTGTTGATTAATTTCGATCGATATGTTTTATATACTGCTATTGGTATCTATATAATAATTCATGGAATACTTCTTATTTGGTTATTTTGTGTTCCATTAAAACATCGTCGAGAATTAAATCAAAAAGATATTCAATATCGACAATTACTATCGAAAAATAGTCAATTATCAAAAACAAAATCAAAAAATAATTCCGATTATATTCCAATTTCAGTATAAAGTTAATTTTTTTTTCAAAATTATTATTATTTTTTATTTTTATGTTATTATCATGATGACTAAAGATGTATTATGAATAGAAAGAAAAAGAAAAAGGGTTGATAAAACAAAAACATAAGTAAATTGAGTCTGAAAATGATTTGTGTTATGAATAAAGTATTTATGCTTCTTCTTCTTTATGTTCTTTAGCAGATTTAAGTTGCACTTGATCACGATAGTTGATTTTTTCCTCTTCTTTTTGGTCTTCTTTAAGTGCAAATTTATTTGTCGATTGTTTTAAGTTAGCCATATTAATAAAATTTGGTTCCTCTTCTTTTGGTTTTTTAATTTTATTCAACCTGATTTTATTTAAATTAGATTAAAAAAAGACAAAGAATAAAATAATTGCTATACACTTACTTCTGTTCAGTTTTCGAAACTTTTTTAAGTGATGGTTTAACAAATTTGCCTTTAATATCGTTGATTTTAATTGTTAATTCATTGACCTAAAACATAGAAAAACAATAAGATGATTTGAATGATATTTTCGTGTTTTCTTTTTTTTTTTTACATCATAATCGTGTTTTCGAACTTTAAATTCAAGATCATAACGACTTTCTTCATTTGTTTTTATTTGATTATGAAGATCTTGACAAAGTGATTTAAGTTGGGCTAGAAAAAATAATTTTTATTATTTTTTTAATTTGTTTTTTTGTATTTAAAGAGAATTCTCTAATATTCACCATCACTCATCGAATTAAGATCATCAAGTGGTTTTAAATGTTGTTCAATATAATTTTTACGTGCTTCTAAACGACGTTGTTGTTCACCTTTAAGATTTTCCGTGGCCATTTTCATAATCAAAAGCTGAATTAATTATAATATTCAAAGCTTTAAAAAAAGAACTAAATAAAACTTAATACAAACACGAAGTTTTCGTTTCTTTTCAGGTGTTAAACCAAAACGCTTCTTTTTCTCTGCTGCATCCCGAGCCTCTTGACGTTTACGTTCACGATCGGCCTTCTTGCGGGCCTTCTTTTCATCTTCTGTAAGTTGTCGATCCTGTAGATAAATAGTTTATTGATTTTTTAAAACATATACAAAAGACTTTTGGCCAACTTAAATACATGCCATGCTATGTATAAGATTCACATTACAAATCTTATATGTCAATTTTCCCAAATATTATGTAATCTTTTATGTTCAGCAAGCAAATCATTAATTTTTTGTTCTCATAATTATTAAGGAATTACAAATTTTTGATAAATGAAATTGTGTACAACATGATGACAACAATTCAGTTTAATAAGAAGTATATTAATAAGTGTAATATCATGCAATTTGAGCTTGAATGTGCCGCTCATCATATAGTTTTTGCATTCGTGCAAACAGACAACATGCGAATTTTTATTTTTTAGTTGAATAAATATATATAAAATAGACATGCATTACATTCAACAAAAAAATTTGTATCATTGTGAAATTTTATTTTTTTGTTGTTTATTACCTCGTCAGCCATTTTTTTTTCTCTGTTTAACTAAGAGTTGCTTGGTGTCCTTTGTTGATCTCGTAAAGCAGCGAAAGAAGAAAAAAAAGAGAAAGAGACAAACAGTGGATGATGATGCTAGTACTAAACACTTATTCTTCGCTTTTCTTGGCAATATCAGCCCACGTATTGGCCACAAAAAGCCAGAAACATAAAGAAAAATAGACCAAGAGAGAGAAAAAAAAACGACGCCGAGGAGGACGATGATGATAATAATGATGTCTTGTTCCTAAAATATCTATATGTATGAGTTTACGAAGAATTGCTGGAACGAGAGAAAGAAAAGCAGCAAGTCTCTTGCTACATTTTTTGTGCGGACGTGCATCGACTATATCGACAACAAATAGGAAATCTCGTTATTGTTCTATCTCATCCTGTGCATTTGTACGAGCCATAGACATACACATACGGATACATATGGATATAAAATTGGATGAGAGAAGAGAACAAGCAATAGACCAATATTTTATCTTTCCTTATTCTTATGAGATAATCAATTACAATAGGAATTTTTCTTCCACATACTAATATATCAGTTATAAATACAAATAACCAAAATCATGACCATAAAAAAAAAATTTCGAAACTCTTTTTCTCTTTATGTTGTTCTCAAATATCTCATTTTTCTTTCTATTAATTTCATATGTTTTTACAACAAACAACTTCACAGCGGCATCTTGAAGAGATTTCCTCATAAGATAGTAATAATAACCTTGACGAATGGCGCGATAAATAATCTATATATAAATTTTTTCTTTTCTTCTGATGCCCTTTAATAGAAATATTCATAGTAAACAACAATTGTCCCTCAGCGCCAACGCAGTCGAGCTTCAAAAAGAAATCAACTGACAGAAGAGATGTTAGAAATACTGCTAGAAAATTGATTATATCACATGCTTATATTCAATAAAAGCAAAAAAAAGATATATAAGTATAAAAGATAGACATCTGTTTACAAGTAGACTAAATGGATGTTCACTTTCTAATGATGATCATCATATCAAAGCTATGAGAACACAGAATATGTGAATAAAAAAGAAAAGATAATACTTTGATAAAACCAAATGTTCAAATTGTGATTATTAAAAAAAGAAGAGTTTTTAAATGATATCAAACAATGAAAATGAGACTTTGATCATTTATTTGTTCTACTGTGGATAAAACTAAAAAAAAAATCCAGGGACCTGTTTCTAAAGATGTTCATATTAATTTTTATTCTTCTTCATGATGATGTTCGCCTTTAGTTGATTTAAGTTGTATTTGTTCTCGAAAATTAACTTTATCATCATCTTTATGTTCTTCTTTTATTGCAAATTTATTAGTTGATTGTTTAAGATGAGCACGAAAATCAATTTCTTCTTCTTTTGGTTTATGTAATTTTTGTAATCTAAATTAATTTAAAAAATAAATTTCTTATTTAATAAACAAAAACAAATATTTTACTTTTGTGTAGTTTTTGATACTTTTTTCAATGTTGGTTTTATAAATTTTCCTTTAATATCATTTACTTTAATTGTTAATTCATTAATCTGACAAAAAAGAAAAAAAAAACATTTTTCTTTAAATTGACAAATAAAAAAAAAATAGATTTACATCATAATCTTGTTTTCGAATTTTCATTTCAAGATCATATCGTGCTTCTTCGGTTTCAGCCAATTGTTTATAAAATTCTTTAACTAATGAAACAAGATGAGCTTCATTAAGAGAATTAAGAGTATTTGGAAGTGCTTTAACACGCTCTTCGATATAGTGTCGACAAGCAGCTAAACGTTCTTCAGCAGCATTTTTCAAATTTTCTGTTGCCATTTTCATAATAAGAAGCTAAATATTTGATAGATTAAAATGAAACAATTTAATTCTATTCTAAAAAAAAAACTAAAACCAACCCGAAGTTTACGCTTCTTTTCAGGCGTCAACGCAAAGCGTTTCTTCTTTTCAGCTGCATCACGAGCCTCTTGTCGTTTACGTTCACGATCGGCTTTCTTTCGTGCTTTTTTTTCCTCTTCAGTTAATCCACGTCCCTAAAAATTTGAAAAATAGATTAAATTAAATATTGAAAAATTCACTGAATTTCTTTTGTTCATTTTATCAATTGATTAAAACTCATCAGTTTTGATTTGCGAAATAAAATCATTTAGAATATTAATGTATCACTTGAATTAAATTATGAGAAAGAATATTTGTAACAATTACATCTACATAAAGATTCTTTGTTTTGTTTTTCGGTGATCGTATTCAGACATATGAGAAAAATACAATATTTTTTATCAATTACTCATTAAATTTTGTTGTACTTTTTTACAGTAACACAGAATAATAATGAAATATCATAATGTGTCTTCATTTTGTTAAGACAGTATTTTTCTTAGATTCATATTAATATAAATTATGTAATAAAGATACAAGTAACAATTTAATATATAAATTGTTTCGTTAAATTTTATATGAAAAATTTTTTTTAATTTACATTACCTCGTCATTCATTGTTTCTCGATTATACTTGCTGTTGTTAATGTTGTTGTTTGTTGTCTATGAGACTAGCAAATAATGTTATTTGTCGATGTCGCAGTAATCGAGACAAAGAGTGCTGATCACTTTTTTTTTTTCTATATATTCCCGTTTTCTCATAAATATCACATCTTGCTTTTCTGATATCATTAAAAATACACCAGAGAAATCTCTCATTCGTTTTTTGTTCTTTTTCTTGTCTCACAGCGATTCATATCGTTTACACAAACATACACATTTGTTCATGTACATGAGTGTCAACCACCAGATGTGACACTAACTAATACCAACTCAATAAAAATATCTTCATAGAAAAATAGATCATTATAGATTTCTGTAGACAAAAACAGTCTATTCATTGGTAGTCTGCAAACACAAAGTAAACAAAAGACAATTTGCAATCGACAAAAAGAAATTTTGTAAATTGAATATGATCTCAAAGATTTATCCGGTTATCGATACCTATGAAAATGATGATGAACATCTCTATATGATTAAGACTCATCCTTTTCGTTTTGGGTTCAAACCTATTTTCATTAGAATCAATATTGGAAATATACTATCGACATTTAAGAACATAAATAAACGTCTTTAGAAAATAATCAGAAGATTTAACATATACACAGATAATGAATTCATTTTCCTGCATTCTCATTCTTATCTTCGAAAATTTGACTATGTCATAATAATGAATAAAACGAGACAAATTTATTTTAAATTTTGTATTTGCGACATGAATTCTTTTTTTTTCTTTTATTGAATTTCTAATAGTATATCAATGAAGCATAACATGTTTTTTTTGGTTAAATATTACATAAAGATTTTGTTTCAACTTCACACAAAATCAAAAAATAAACAAGAATCTTGTATATAAATGTTTTTCTTATTGTTCCATTCATATCATAGTGGGGAAACTCGAAAAGTATCTATCATATTTGAATAAGACTAATAATGTTCAAAATTTCGT